GGGGGGGGGGGGGTCTTGCAAGCAGCCGGGGCAGCGGGGGTTGTCGGAGGGTTTGTTTGCTGCGGGACGCCGCGAGTGGTGGCTGTTGTCAAGCGGGCAGGGTGTCTCGGAGTCATCAGGAAAATGACGGGCTCAGCATGCGGCACCTGCCTTGACGCCGGCGGGAGGGTGGGATGGGGTGGTTGAGAGGCTGCGACACGGGAAGGACCAGGGATGATGTTGACGTCTTTGGTGGAGGGGAGCAGGACGTGTGTTTGCAGCGAGCTCAGCAGCTGCAGTGAGCAGTAAGCGAGCCGGCCCTCCCCGTCATCCAGAAGCTGCGCCCCCTGCAACCCAGGCAATCCCGCACGCCCCTCCATCACGCCCCAAGCGCTCCCTCACTCCTCCCGGCAGGTCCGCCGCGAGCCCCTGGGTGTGGTGGGGCTGGTGACGCCCTGGAACTACCCCCTGCTCATGGCCGCGGTGGGCACGCCGACGCGGCGCGCGCCAGGGCCACCGCTTGCACGCTCTGCCCTGGAGTGGCAGCAGCGTTGAATCCGTGCCAAACTGCCCTGCAGCCGCCGCCCGCGGCGGTCCGAGGGTTCTGCACTCCTTGACGGGCCGCTGGGCACCTGCTGCCCGTCCACCCACCTCTGCCACCCATCCGGCACCCACCCCTCCATTGCAGTGGAAGGTGGCCCCCGCGCTGGCCGCGGGCTGCTGCTGCGTGCTCAAGCCGAGCGAGGTGGCCAGCGTCACCTGCCTGGAGCTGGCCGGGCTCGCCTCCGACGCGGGGCTGCCGCCGGGCGTGCTCAACGTGGTCACGGGGCTGGGCCAGGAGGCGGGGGCGCCGCTCTGGTGCGCGGCGCGGCGGGCAGCGCCGCTGTGGAGTGGGACGGGGAAGGGCCGCGCCTGTGTGCGGGGGTCTTTGCTCCCGCATCCGCACTCCCAGCTTGCGCGGTGGCGCCCTTTGCAGGGCCTCCTGACTTTGCAGCCTCGAACTCAGTCCGCACACTAGCACGATTGGATGACGCCACCTGCTTCATCCGCTCTATCGCCTTCCCAACTGCTGTCTCCGCGCGACTGCCTTGCAGCTCCCACCCCGGTGTCGCCAAGCTGGCGTTCACAGGCAGCACCGCCACCGGCCGCAGCGTTGCGCTGGCGGCGGCCACCAACCTGCGGCCCGCGACGTGCGAGCTGGGGGGAAAGAGCGCCCTCATCATATTTGAGGACGCTGACCTGGACAAGGCGGTGGAGTGGGTCATGTTTGGGGCCTTCTGGACCAACGGTGAGGATTACATGTGTGCTCTTGTAGGTGCAAGCGTGTGTGCGCGTGTATGTGT